TTGAAAGAACATTTCCAATAAAGGTTCGATAAACTAACAACCCCTATACAAGGGGCATGTCATTGGCACATTTTTAAGTCCAATGTACGATATACATACATTGAATATCGTCTGGGCATTATCTTGAACTAGCTGTTCCCATGCGGCTTTATCCGCATGAAATTATAAAAACTTTATTTATTTTTTACACTCGTCAAAATCTCAATTGTAAATGTCAAAATTACCATTATCATAATAACCTTGCTTTTTTGGTTTTATGGTTTTTCCCACATGAAGGTTTTCATACAATTTATGTACCCCGTATGTTTCATAGCTTGAAAATATAAAGACTAAAGCGTGACGAAGTGTAGGGCTTATTGTTAAAGAAACATTTATTCAAAAATATGCTGTGATGGCTGACACCCTACGCCACGAAGTACTGTGTGTTTACGCTTTATTATATTAGTATAGATTAATATAATTACCAACGCTGATTCAAATGTTATTTATTAATCCGATTAATAATTTTCGTAGTAATGACCTACGTTTGGACGATAATTTTACGCTATCTATATATTTATTCAATTCAATTTTAATTAACAACTACAATTCTAAACATGTATATTTCAAACATCAGATTTATAATCCTTTTTTTAAGTTTTGTTCAGAATTAAGCAAAATTCGAACTAAGATGTTTTTGGCAAGGAATATTTTTTTCCATTATTGTTCCCTGCTTAAGTTAGAACAAGTGTTTTTTGATATATATAATTAATGTTTTTCTTTTTATTTATATTAACTTAAGGAATTTGAACAAAATTAAATAAACACAAGACATATGAATATATGATTTAAAATATTTTCAATTTAGAATAATTATTGTTTATTATTATTTATTACTGTATGTGATTAAGACTTGTCTTAGAAATGTTTGAGGAAAATTTTATCAAAACGCAAACAATTAATTAAAAATAAATTATGAATTTACAAGAAAAACGAGATAAAAATGTAAACAAACGATTTATAATCCGAAACCTCAACTTGGCCGATAAAACATTTAGTGCAAATTTTATCCATGAAAATGCAAATCCGCAATCAATTGATTAAAATAATTCGAACATCTAAATATGTCATATTGAGTATCGTAAAACCATTATGATGCGATAAACAAGTTTCTTTAACAATCTTTAGAACTAAAACACGGTTAACACATTGTCGTAGAATTATCCTATCGTAAAACATTTATTAAATACTAGATGTTCCCGTGCGGCTTCATCCGCGTGAAATTATAAAAAAATATATATTTCGTTGTTTACATTTGTCAAATCCTCAATTGAACATTTCAAAATTACCTTTAACATAACAACCTTGCTTCCTTATTGTTAGTAGCTTGTAGTTTATTTTCTCTTTCCCACATGAAGGTTTTTTTCCAATTTATTTACTCCCTTAGTTTAATAGCGAGAAAATATATAGAGTAAAGCGTATCGTAAGTGCAGGCCTTTAAATTAAAGAAAGAGTTATTCAAAAACATGCTGTGATTGCTGACATCCTACGCCACGAAGAAGTGTGTGTTTACGCTTTATTATAAACAGTATAGATATAAATGTGTCTTTGTTATCTCAAAGAGCCTAAAAGAGATGTCAATACATTTCTTTAAAAGTGTGTCTACAGTGAAAACCGACAGTAACTAATACACCACGTAGACAAATATAAAAAAGGGGTAGGCATTGCTTATGGTATAAATAAAAATTACAAGTATTATTATGTAATAGAACATTATAAGAAAACAAATACAGTGCCAAGTAATTGAAAGAAATCACAGCTAAAAATAATAGTAAACTACGTGGGTGGTTCTTTGTAAATTTGCGCTTTGTTTTAATTATGTCATTAGCGTAATTAGAAGACTGACATTTTAATTTATTTATAACGATGTTGTCAGAAGCAACTATATAATCTTTAACAAACTAAAAATTAGTAATAGGGGTACAAAAAAAAAAAAATTCCAACTGTGTGTTCCGATTACTAGCGTTTAATCTACAAAAATGTTGATGATCGAAGCCTTTAACTATAAAAAAATATATGTCAAAGTCGGGAAACATACTTTTATTTCAATCTGAAATTGAGCATTAAAATAACAGTATCTTCATATAATCTCTAAAGTACAATAAAATACAACGATCAAATAAACCATAAAATGTATTCATGTAAGACAAGAAATAAACATAATGTATGGTAATGGCGTTTGAAGACAAATTGACAAATATTTATTTCCCTTTTAAATCTCAAGCCATGAGCGAATACTTGATAAATATTTACTTCATGGCCGTCGTATGGTAATTTACATACGTCAGAGAGGAATAGAATATTTGAGACTGGGAAGGGGCCCATACTTTATTTTATAACTAGCTGTTCCCGTGCGATTTCATCAGATAAAAGGATTTAATTGTTAACATATGTCAAATTATTTATTGCAAATGTCAAAATGACATGACATAACAAAACTTGGCAATTTTGCTTCCTTACTGTTGGCAGCAACTTATGGTCTCTTTCCCACGTTAGGGTTTTTATCCAAAACATTTACCCACAAAGTTTCATGGCGTGGAAATGTATAGCCTAAAGCGTGAGTAAGTGTAGAGATTTTTATTAAAAAAAGGATTATTCAAAAATATGTTATAATTGCTGACATCTTAAGCAACAAGAAGTGTGTGTTTACGCTTTATTATAATAGTATAGATAGATTTTGTTAAATCTACATGTATAGTGGGAGTATTCCTATCATTCTGTATTAAAACTTTGGAAATGAAAGCGTTCGTAATGAGTCCAGACTGAATTCATAGAAGTACGAGTTTAAATCACGCCCACCTATTTTCGGTACGTCTAAATTTAATGCGCATTTCACGATATTGCGTAAAAACAGTACCAGCACTATTGTTGTAACCTCAATAACTATAAAATTATTACAAAACCAATTAAAAATCGATTTTAGGCGTCAAAATCATTCGATAGAAATATTTCATAACAAATAACATTTTCATAGAACGATTATGATAGATTTAGCGGCATGAAGTAGCAACTCCAGCATCATCAGCTGTTGTTATACGAATGGTTCTTTATATTTGAAATACGTAGAGATCTCAAGTAAGCTTGTAGTAAGATTTTATACTTAGAACGTTAGAGAATAGTACTTCTTCCCAATTTATCGCCTCTATCTCATATTAGGTAAATAGAAAAAAAAAAACTAAACTTTTTTGAAGAAGATTTAAAACTTAACTGATTCAAAAAATATTTCGTAAAAAGTCCTTCGGATACCTAGTAATTTTATTAAGATAATCTCTTATTTTTTGTATTTACTCACGCGTCGCTAAAGCGGGTTTCTATTTTTGTATAATTGTATGCAAAACTAATTCATGAGAAATGTTATTTTATAGCAAAAACAAAAGTTTCTTGTGAAACGCCAGTAGTTGACTAGCGTGCTTATAACAATTTCGTATAATTGTATGAGGTAACTCTGTGACAAAATCAGATCTATGACACTGCTTCCGCGATTTCCAAATATTGTGGTTTAATACAAACCGCAGGGTTTGTAAAATATTTATCTTAAAGCATAAGAATATTGTTATAACAAAAACGCCATTCGAACAAATTATAGTTTCTGAACAACATTGTCTTTAGCAACAGTGACTTCTAGAAAGTTATTTTTTATCTGTATTGTTTGGGTTATCTTTGAGTGTGTGAAGCATATGAAAATGCGTCATTAAATTAATATAAAAATTGTATAGTTTCGTTTAAATAAAACTAACAAAACAATGAATGCAATTTACATAACGTTTAGGTCATACTTACAATACATTAGCCTACTTTATTGTTTTATTTTATTTATCTCTATACATTAATTCCATATTGAATTTAATCATTATGTCAATACCTATAAACAATTGTTTTAAAAACAAAAGATGCAATAAATATTCGTAATAATAAAATTTAATAAGCAAATAATATAACTGAAAAATCATGTTAGTATATTTTAACATTTATTCCCAGAAAGAAACAATTTCTTATGAAGTACTAATTATGATGGTTAACCTGCTCAATTCCAATATAGAAATTGATAGATAAACCATCAGTACTTATAACAGTAGAAACCTTATCTCTACGATATTCATAGCTATAACCTCATTACTTGCTACTTACTAAATGCTATGCGTTGAAAAATTATGGTCAACTGTCGTATCCAGAACTTGTACTGATTACTGTATTTGTATATACTAAATTTCCACAAGACAGACTTTAAGAAGCTCCAAACCCAGTAGTGGGGTCAACGAGGGATTGAGAAAATTACAGATTTTTACTGTCAGTCAGTCTAGTTGGCCAAATTGAGTAAATCGATACTAAGTGTCTCTTAAACCACTTTAAATACGGCAGCAAGTCTATTAATAAAAAGTTTCTTTATATTAATTCTAATAACCATTCCAGTACTTTCTATCATTACTTACACCAAATGACTATCTACAAAACTGGTTTCTTATCAATTTCTCTTTCCTAAGTTAACCGCAGTAATTGAAACTGAATTATCGGTTAAACATCGAAACATTATTTTTAATATTTTAGATACCAAGAAGTTTTACATATATCATCCAAATTTTAGTTGTGTAATGATAATATGAAAATGCATCGAACATTTTTCGCATTAATATTATTGAAATACATTAAAATACAAGGCGAGGAAGACAGTGTGGCGTGTCGTGGTGTGGCTACTTGTAAAGCAGCTGTGTGCAATGCACGGTGAAACTGAAAGTAAAAGTGTGCCAAGAAAATGCGCTAGCATAACATTAATATATTTTGCAGAACTTTGTCATACTACTTTATAATTATTGCACATATAAAATGAAATGTTATAACATGTAAAGTGTTCCCCATAGTGTAGATTAAATTTGAGAATAGTACACTAAGGGTCTTCCGATCGATCTAAAATAGTCTTCTACTTAACTTATTTTTATTATTGAAAATATGTAGTTTGTAAATACCTTATCAAAGGTTATAACAGGACTAGCTGCTCCAATGGTGCCATCTTTCTTCTTCTCGATCTTGTAGACTATAATAGTGTTCTCCTCAACCGTATGCACGATGAACGCCTTAGAATCCGGGCTCCAAGCCACGCGCGAAGCGTAATCGAATGGAATGTTCACACGCAGTGTCTTGTGCTCCTTCTGGGTCAGATTCCTGATGTCCCATAGAATCACAGAGCCATCTAGTGAAACAAGAGATAATGAGCAATAAATAAGACGAATCTACGTAGACATTTTAGAGTTCAAAAGAAGTGGAGACGTTTGTCCTACAAACGGTCACAAGTACTCAAAAAACATTTTAGTCAGAAGCTGGCGGTTATTACCCATATGAACTTCCATTGATCATACAAACCTTTTAGAATTATTGCAACTATCGGTGAATAACCACAATGCATTTCAAATAAATACATAATTGCTCACCGATGAGCAACTATGTAATATCTTGGTCTTGTTTGAAATATGTAATAAGTTTAATTTAAAAATACACTATGATGTAATTTTAACACCAGTTTCATAATTAAATATGACATTTATGAGTATCCTAATCTCTATACCAGGCGAGAATGTGCAGTGTTCTCACAAACCAAGAGGTTAAGAACATGTAGAAAAATAAGATGATATTGTATTTACCGTAAATAAATATTAAAAAGATAAATCGCCTTGATAAATAACAAAATAATTACTTTCATCTGCAATAGATAGCCGTAATAATAACGAATTACAACACTATCCAGAAAACAGCATCATAGCCTATTGTTTAAATGAAATATTTCAAATTCGTTAAAGAAGCGATTATAATGTATCGAGTTAGTCACAGTTAGCGTTGTTGGTTTAAGTAAAAAAGCCGGGCTTACAATGCGGGAACCGGTAAAAGGTCAACAGACCGTTGATATCGAAACTGAGTCACTGTACCAAGGCCTTCGGATTTCAGCCGGCCACGTAGTGACAACTAACTGCGAGTGGGCGATGAAGCGTATGATCACACTGGAAATCTTATCTCGTTAGCTAAACAAGTTTTTTGTCATTTCGTTGGTGCAACTACTATTACGTGATATGAAAGCGGATTAAAAAGTTGCAATAAATAATGCCAAATCCCAGATTTCATGAAAAAGATTACCATTTAGGATTCAAATTGCTTAATCTGTACCCATTATTAGGCCACGAGCTAATACGCAATCAATCAAGTAGTAAAAAGAGCATGTTTTGTACTCTGAAAGTCACAATTAAGGCAGGTAGATTTTTTTAAATTTCTGCGTATTCTGATACTCTTTTTGTGTCTTCTTTTTATTGAAAATTGTTGTAATATATGTAAATACTTCTGGAGATAATAGTAAACTTATATTGACTTTTATTTTCATGGTGACCAAGATTACAATAATAATACATAAAGTCTGAGACGGAAGACATTACAGAATAGTATAATATGAAATAAAACTATTTTAATAAATAAATATTGCATATATTCTTACATCGTGCTAAAACATTTATCGTAATTAAATAAAATCCATAACTAATTGTTATTAAAATACAATTTCGTGATTCCGGATCGCAGCTTTGAATGGAAAAATCTTTTATGTTGTCATATCAGATCTTATGTTTTCATGATTAGTCCTTGATCTTTGGTTTGCCGTTAATACCATCATGTATAATTCATTTACAGGCAGTTAAAACCTCTCTTCAACCAGCGTAATTATGTTAATTTAATTTACCTCGCTACTTCTCTTCTGTGTACAATTTTCAGTGAGATAACTGCGACTGCACTAGAGAAAGCAAACGTTCAGTCTTTAGACGCATAGTGAAACAAGGGTCTTACATAATATACAACGATTGTATACATGGGATAGGTATTTAAAACGATTAACAGGAAAGGAAACTTGTAGTATATGTGTAAATGTTTTAACAAGCCATAGTAAGAAACAATTAAAGCAAGAATGAAGTGTTTGCATAATCTAATTAATGCACATACGATCTGTTGATGTATATTACCATGTTGATTATACTGTAAGACAGTTATTGTATTATTTACAAGGAAATAGAAAAAAAAAATGAAAACAACTTAATATCTTCCGCTACTGCCATTCTCAAGTGAATAATTTATTTAACTGCGAACCAAAACTTTGTAAACAAACTTTTTTATAACAAAGAGCAGCCTTTTGCAATTTTCTTAGCAAATTAAATTACTTGTATGATAGGATATAAAATGAGAGCATATCTTGGATTCCGTAAAAAAGTTATTTAATTTAATAAGCTAAATTACGTATAGCAAGTTATAACAATAGTATTTATATTTAAATCCGTTTTTATTTCCATATAAACTTAAACTGTTAGAAACCTGTTCCTTAATTGAGTTGCGAAGTAAAAATACTTTTTATAATTTAAACCAATAGCCTTGAGAGTAGCAATTTTTGAATTTATTATTTACATAATTGTACGTAAATCATTAGGTATTAATTTGCAATGAATTCTCGTTCTTATAACTCTTTAAACCTGATATAACTTAAAAAAAATATAGTATAAGGTAACAAAAGTCCAAGAGGCCTCCGTATACGCCAAATCTGACAATATTTCCATTCCATTCATATTTTTGAAAGATTATAATATCTTTTACAACGCCATAGTATTAGTATTTTAATTTATGTAGTGGATCTTGTGGCGAAAAAACCCCCTATTTAGGACGTAACAGGTTATAGATGAGTCATGAATTGCAGACGTCAGACCTGGTTCTACATAATTTATAGGACTTTAGTGATATCTGTTTTCCTTGTTGACTTCCTTAAATCATGGATAAACCAACATACCTAGATAGTGCATTTATTACTTATATTTGGTATGCTAAACATAATTATTTCTATGAAATATCTAGGATCAACGTCTAGTTATTCTGATAGTGTCATCATACACTACCTGAGCGTGGTATTTATTGACATGATAAAAAATTAACCAATTGTGCTCTTACCATTTGAAGCAGTTGTACACACACTGACTTGGTTGAAGCTGTATGTACCTAGGGACTCTAACTGGAATATACAGGAAAATTACCACGACCTCACTGAATGCAGGCGGAAAATAAAGTTAGTGTTTGTGAATTACACTATCCCCGCTCTATCATTTTGGGTGTGGAACGAAGTCGTGTGACAAGGAGAGGCCCTAAACGACAATTTTTAACTACGTCAAAATTCGTATCCAGAACAAGTGTTGTTTGTACTGCATGTACTATATCATTACTACTGCAGGTGCTATATTGACACGCCGAAGAAATATTTGTTTATTAAGTGTTACCTGTACTTGACATTTCCTTATATGTGAATAGCCATATCGAAGACATGATGGCGAGCATTGAAATCTTTAGTTCAACGGCCTGCTCAAGGGAACTAGGAAGTAGGTAACGTAACAGAGGCGCAAAAACTTGAACCTTACAATGGCATTCGTGTTTGTTCATGTACGAATGTTTATATTTATATAGTCATCGTCAGCCGTTTATGAATAATAAACTCAATGATTTTAACGACGAATAAAGACAACTTGTATGTTTGTACCGACTTCAAGGTTCTATGTTTTGTGAGATGACGTCGGACACATGATAACATCTACTACTAATTGAAATGTATACTAATTTTAGTCAAATTACATATAATATTTGGCTAAACTATGCAATCTAATAGCAATTTAACTGATGATTAAAATTATTTACCATATCTACTATACCTAGTGTAGGTTATGGTAGTGATTACTACATTAAATAATTAATAGGAATAAATTTAGATAATAATAACAAACAATAGAAATCTTTTTACGTAATAATCATCATTTGGATGTCGTAATATAGAACTATGGTAATAGTAAAACAATGGACAGCAGAATCTTTCTATATGACCATTATATTTAGATGGTAGACACAATAACAATAATCGTTTATATTAAAAAGGCGATATGTTTAGCTATACAGAAGTGAAAAGGTGATTGTACTTGTGTTATTTATGACAGGTTATTTCGTTATGCTCGGGTTGATTTTAGTTGAATATCAGTCATCAATCTCGGAAGACAGCAAACGAAGAAGTCGTTGAATGTTTTGTAAATACCACTTTCAAACGCCTACATAATTTATTTAATAAAACTTCATCTACAGGAAACTATAGTTAGTTACTATGACAATTGAATATTTCGATCGGAATATATTTGAGACCATCGTAAGTCTGTACCATTTGGAATGCGTACGTATTGGTCTGTAGTGATTGTTGTGGCGCTTGGGCGAACACTATGTCGAAATCTTACAATTGTGAAAGAGGCGGAGGCGTGTTGGACATAAGGTTGACGGCGCCTTGTATTGTTAGAACTAGGAGCGTATGTTTAACAGACACTGTCATGCTAAATTAAGCTAATTTACAATTCTGAATTTGTAGTTGTTCAATAGAATTATTTGGAAGTAAACAGCAGCGAATAGTTGAGATGCTTGAAATACTGTTTCGTGGGAGCCGCATAGTCACAATTCATTCCTTTGGATTAAACATTGATGTGGAAGAATGTTACCAAGAGCAATTAGTAAATGAGAATAATTGTACAACGTATGGTATCGTTTACATATAAATGATTTTAATAAATAAACGATGACAAAATAATGATAAGAAATTTTCGTAGCATTGAATCATCCAGGTCACTTTCCTGTTGAATTCGTTCGCGGTAAGCAAAATGACTTACGTGTTATTCAGACGTTTATTATTCAGAGTGCTCTGATCAGGCGAATGATGACGCGGCGCGGCAGTGGCGCGGCCGTCCTCGCTTCCGAGAAATGCTATTGACTAATATCGATCAATTTTAACGTCACATCTGTGTTTTGTAATCAACGTGATGATACCCCGATACTACAGCAGTGCATGGCCATACCTAAGATATTTCAAAACAACATCGTTTGTTATATAGACATGCTCGGTCTGTGCGTTATTATTGATAATTCTTCGAACAAATTGAAACACGCTACCATATATGCCTGTCATAACAGAGATTAGATAACTCCGGGAAATCTGCGGACTTTCGCAGATACTGTGATATAATGTAATCTATTGAGGAAATAATAAACACATGACGGCCTCAATTATTTACGTGTAATGACCCTATTAGATATTTGAGTACGATACCTTATCTTGAAATATATTTAATGCGTACAATTTAAAATTCTAGCTTTATT